CACAGTCTGCCAATCACATACCACAAGTCCCGTCACGTTCCTTGTAATCAGACAACGGCCTTGATAAATTTCGATTTGATGTGGTTTTAGAAGTTTATAGAAACAATAATTGGAATGACTGATAAAACGGAAGCTCAAAAAAGAAGCTTGAAAAATGCAGAAGTGAATGTACATTGAAAAATGTGGTTGACAGAAAAACGTTTGACGAATTCGAAGAATATTATTCGCCTGAGACCACTATATTTTGGTATACGCGAAACTGCTGTATATTTCGTATATTGAACCGTGCCTTTCGCGAAAAAGATTTCGGTATTATGCTTCGTTTTCGTTTTTTTCTGTCGGACCTATTTAATCAGTTAAAAGCTGGCCATGATTTATTACTTCAGCAAGCGTTAGATTCCCCTACACTTCTTTTGTATCGTGGACAAAGAATGCCAAATCATGAACTATGGAATTTAAAGACAAATTGTGGACAAATTATATCCATAAACACATTTTTGTCAACAACTAAAGATAAAGATGTAGCACTGATGTTTGCCGGTGAAAACAATCATTCGAATGATGGGTATCAGCACGTTTTATTTACAATTGAAATAGATGTCCATTCAACCGATAAATCGTTTGCTGAACTAACAGACAGAAGTGCGTTTAAAGATGAAGAAGAAATCTTACTAATGTGTGGAACAATATTCAAAGTTACTGAAGTGCATTACAGTTACGAACTGCGTGTTTGGATTGTTAATATGACGAAAGTCGACAGTAAAAACAGCTATGATGTAAAATACAGTTCTCAGCGCATTGAAAAGTTGTTGGGTGAAAGTAAACCAGATGTATTTGAGTTAGACAGCATTATGGACAAGCCAAACGATCGGCTTTCCGCTTGTTATTCTAAGACGATGCTATACTATAGAATGCTGGGTAGCGAACTGGCCCAGTTTGACCAGGCTTACCAAATGAAATTTCATTTCGCAATGGGCGAATTTACTTACAGGATTTTTCAGTACGATCTATGCATCATTTGTTATACAAAGCTAAAAAATTGGATGGAAAAAGTCTGTATAAAGCAACAGACACCGGAATTCATCTCAGCCTTACGCGCTCTTTATGAAAAACTTGGCCATGCATACTGGCAGATAAAGGAGGTTGAAAAATCTGCCGATTATTATGTGTAGCTAGCT